GTGTGCAATAGCTTCTTTTCCAAATTGAGAAGACTAGAAAACTTCATATTAGGACTGTATGACTCTAATTTTGTTGCCATGGTGGATTCCCTGTGTTTTTTGCAGGATCATTTGGCTGCAGCTCGTGATCCAAAGAGGGTGATTTGAGTGGTTATAGCTCAAAGCAACCCAGAGTATGCTGCTTATAAGATAACTATGCACAATTTGAAGCAGGAATTTAATCTGTAAAGGTTCTTTGAAGCAAGTGATATCAATGTGAAAAAACCAAATATTTTTTTCCAATAATGATTATTCTGCATGTGTTAGAAAACAGTGTATCATTCAGAATTAGCTTTACTTGATGAACAGAAGTTTTGGTCTCCAGTGTGGAAGTGGAGTTTGCAAAGGTTTAGGGGAGCGTAACATATTGTGGTTACTGAGATGAGGATAATTATTGGATGACGTTTGCTGTTTGGACTTTTGTGCAAGCCTTAAATTTTCAGATTTTGCAACTCTGCACTTCATTACCCCCCTCTCCCTCTCCCTCTCCCTCTCCCTCATACTGTTCTTGTAGCAAAGTAGAGGTGAAAATAGCATGGGCTAGCTAGTTTTCGGGTTGGTAATTGGAAAATAGCATGGGCTAGCTAGTTTTTGGGTTGGTAATTGAAAAATAGCCCGCACTTATAAAGTTATTGAAAAATAATCATTATTTTACTTGAAACACGAATAGTTTCAGCATAATATACTGGATTATGGAGCTCCTGTGTATAAACTTCTATCATATTATATTGGAATTCCAACAAATTATGAAATTCCAGCACATTATGTTGGAATTTTCTGGATTTTAAGGATATTTTGTTTAGATTTTATCTTTACATGAAAAAATATCTAAATTTTGATTATTTTCGAAACTATGGCTATTTTTCAATTACTTTCTTTCCCCCTTTTTTTTCTTTATCTTTTTCAGGTTATCCTGGTAAGTTTTGTCTCTAAAATATATTTATTGTAGTGGGTAATTCAGAGTTGCTCTTGTGAATGTCAAACACTCGTGATAATGTTAAATGCGAGATTTGATAAAAAACAAGTTTCTTTCAAACAATTGATTAGGAGCCTCATCGTAACACAACATGAATGTGGATGTGTAGATATCATTAAACCAATGCGATTTTTGTAGAGATTTGAGTATAGACGATTTATATTTTTGATTAGAGACATACCAGCAATAGTGTAGTTAGAAGGTGGCATAAAGTAATTACTATACTGCGAAATCTGAGAACATCTTCTCTCTGCAATTTCCTCATCCCCATTCCCCAAGTTACTAAGCTAGCGTTTGGCCATAGATTCTCAAATTTGTTTTGAAAAATCTGATTTGGGTGAAGTTTAATTTGAAAATGGAAATGTGTTTGGACATAAGTTTTCAAAACATATTTCACTTTTTTTTTTTTTTGAAAAAACATGAAACACGACTTATACCCACAAGTTCTAAAAACTATCACAAATACCCAATATAACCTTTATCAATAACATTCATTATATTATCGCAAACCATAATCTTGAACATAAATAAATTTGGTACAAAATTATCACTTTTAAAATGAACTACATAATGCACTATCAGATGATCGAGAAGACGAAGCAGCATTGTTACAAAATAATAAATAGTGGGCTCTTTTATAAAATATAAAAGTTTAGGGTAAATTTTAAAAAATATAATAGTGATAATTTGGGCCAAAACCAGCTCTTGAGCTAGTTTTAGGATTTGGGTGGGTTTTAATAATTTGCCAAAATGTGGGGGAAGTGCACAGTTAGCAGTAATAAGACATGTATTTACTTTTAAGCCACTGTTTAAAATGTCCTTAGTCTTTAGCCATTGCTTTAATAAACTTTTACCCGCCCGAACGAAAATAACCTTCTGCTCATAAAGTTCAAGACCAAGTGTCCTTAACTTATGAGCTTGTTACTGTAAGTTCAGGACTAGCTGTCCTTAATTTATGAGCTTGTAAGTCTAGTTTAGGACTATCTGTCCTTAACTTTTGAACTTGTAACTCTAAGTTCAGGATTACATGTCCTTAACTTTTGAACTTGGAACTAAGAAGTTTATGACTACCTGTCCTTAATTTCTGTGCTTGTAACTCTAAGTTAAGGACCAAGTGTCCTTAATTTTTGAACTTCCAACTCTATGTTCAGAACCAAGTGGCCTTAACTTATGAGCTTGTTACTGTAAGTTCATGACTAGCTGTCCTTGATTTATGAGCTTGTAAGTCTAAGTTAAGGACTACATGTCCTTAATTTTTGAGCTTGTAACTCTAAGTTTCCTTAACTTCTGAACTTGTAACTCTAAGTTCAGGACTACATGTCCTTATTTTTTGAACTTAGAACTCTAAGTTCAGAACAACGGCAAAACATATGAAGTTATTCTCTTCAAATCAAATGAACAAAATTCTAGGTTCTATTTTATCGGATGAGAGGCCTGGAAACTTCTAAAGTCACGGAAAAAGAAGATAATTTGTTGATGATTTCCCTCTTCCTATTTACAGTCGTCTCGTCTCCTTCCTTGTATAGTCTGTCAATCTCTGAGCAGGAATTGGGTTAGCTAGTGAGATGAGCTCACCCGGTCTATCTCGAGGAGGAGAAAAGGAACAAAGAGCAAGGACTTTTGAAACTGAAGCGAAGAAGATGTGCTGGGCCAAGGCGGGGTCAAGAGATAGAAGAAAGAGTAACACCGTCTTTTCATATTAATTTTAATAGACTAGTGGCTACTTTTGCTCAGCATTCAAAATGCTGGATAAAAATTAAATACCACTTTAAAAAGTGGCTACTCCACACAATTTTTACCCAAAATGTATGCCAAAAAAAATTTCAAATATATTTTGGCAAAATCTATGGCCAAATGAGTCCTAAGAAATTAACTCGGTTGACTACTCTATCCCAATGGACTGTCTCTTCAATTTCCCAACAATGGGGAGATGACACTGTATAGGCAGTCTTAAAATAATAATCGGAAAAAATACGTATATTCTTTTTTAAATATTTTTGGTATATATTTACATTTTTGTATAATATATAAATAATATGTAAATTTTATACACTTTTGCGGTTACCAGATATAAGTAGTTTTGCCCGCAAGCTAAATGTAATCTTTGTCCAATAACAATAATAGTCCTACATGCAACCCCTCATCTTCCTTTAAGGAAATATTATTAGCGGACAGTCAAATAGAGTACATTAATATGCAACCCATCGATTTTGCCCCTACTCTGAATGCTAGATTTCAAGGAAATCATTACGCATGGGAAAGCTAAGACAAACGGAGGCTTTCAAGTTAACCTACCAATGGAAGAGTTGCAACGTATCTATCACCCTTGGAAATACTTGGTTATTACTAAATTACTTGGTAAGGGAATCCTCCTTAACTATCTCAAAAGAAAAATGTATTGGTCCAAATTTGGACGACCACGACCACTAACGAGGGACGGGACCCTCACGATACGGCGTCCTTTGGTCGTTGAGGAAGGCGATGATTGGTAGCGACTGGAGAACGTACGACATTGGTAGTAATGTAGGTGCAGCACGAGGCCGTCCGAATATACTTGGGAATATTCTTTTTTGTTATATCTTTTAGGGTTCAGGAGGAGATTGTCCCTTATAAATAGAAGGAGAAGGCTCTGTGGGGGAGCTCCTTTCTTGGACACGAGAGGAAAAAGCAAGAATGTTCATTACTGTATCTTCCCACATTCAAAGTTATCATATCAATGCTTAATCGTTCAATTTCGTGGTATTAAGAAACATTATCCATTGCGCTCATCCTTTATATCTTTCAATCTAGATTTCATTATTCTTAGCAGAGATTTACCTCTTCATCTTCTCTAATTGATTTAATCAAAAATGTTTCGATTACTTTTGGTCAAATAATTTGGCGCCGTCTGTGGGGATTTCTTTAGCTAAGATTTTAGTATCATCTAGACCCTTGAAAGGGATAATCGCCTCTTCTCTGCCTTGCAAAAACCGACAATGGCAGGAAAGGAGGACGCAAGATTAAAGGCAATCGTAGGTGTCACGAACAACCTTCTGGATTCCATCAACGAAATCGATAGGGAAGATAACGAAAACGCAACACCAAGCGCTACACCTGAGAAAGATAACCC